TACAAATATGAAATTTTGGACCTCGATAGTTACATATTGTCGTTGTACAAAGGCATTGAAAATTGTTCATTGTCATGTCACAAACGGCCACAAGGTTGCACTAAAATCAGTATCTCGTGTGACCGCCCGTTGCAGCAATCACGGTTCTGCATCTCCTCTGCACTGACTGGTTAAGCGTACGAATTCTGTCTTGCGGATTTCGGCGCAATTTTGCTTGTAACGCGTTGGCCAGTTGTGGAGTGTCTGCGGCGGTTCTGACGTTGACGTACACGTCGATCGAGTTCATCCCAGAGTTGTTCCATTGGGTTGAGATCTGGAGATCTCGACGGCCAGGGCAAGCCGTTGATGTTGGCATAAGGGGGTAGTCTACCGTGATAGAACCTGTGTTCAGTGAAGCGTTGTCCTGTTGAAACAGCTCCCTCTGGCGGTCAATGATTGGAAGAAGGTGAGGTTGAAGAATTTGATTCATGTAGCGATTTGCTGTCAACCTTCCCTGAACCACAACCAAGTCAGATCTCGTGGTGTAGGATACACACACACACACACACACACACACACACACACACACACACACACACACACACACACACACACACACACACACACACACACACACACACACACACACACACACACACACAAACACACACACACATATATATATACGTGCACGTGTAAAAACTGTATTTTGCTGTCAACCAAAGAAGATCTTCAACACCTTATAATTGTAAAGTTTTAACTGTTTTGAAATGTCTCGCCTCATGACCACGTTCCTTATTTCAATATTGTATTCGGTGCCACACATGGCTGTACACAACATTTATATATTTCACATGAATACGACGGCTACATGGGCAAGCATAACGGTAAACACAAACGTGTGTTTGTTTAACATTTTTGTGTGTTGAAACACGTATTATTTTAAAGGGAAAATATATAAACATTTAGTCTGGTCGGGTAACTAATTCTGACTATTGTTTCCTGAATAAAATATTATTTACTTCAGATATACCCCTTATTATTTGGTGTCATGTGACACCAGATGTTGTTATCAACCAATACTCCTGTATAGAAATATGAAACATCAATGCTTGAGAATGCTAGTGAATGACCAATTTCGATTTGCCAACGAAACAAATTCATGACTACGTTGACCATAGCGGTAAGAATATATTCATGGATCAGTGATGACCCATGGTCAGTTGTTTGCAAAAAGAAGCTGTTGCCTCAGATGAATAGATGAAGTTATTCCGAAGCAGTAAGCTCTTAGCTTAGCTTGTCAGCTGGGACCATGTCAATACATCTTGTTTGAAATGTATGTACATGTTGACCGCATTGGCAGAGAGTATTATTATCTTGAACGAATTCTGCAAACGAAGTAGACATTTGGGATTCCATTTATGCACAGATGTTTCATTTATCACAATATGCCTATGTTTGTTTGAAGGAAACGTGTTCTTCACCGACTTTGCTGCAGGCTTCAATGCAGGGTTGGAGTACACAAAAACTATTCAAAGACAATCAATTCAATTAATTAATCAGTGTAACTACCAGTGCAAATGAAGAATGTTTATTATAACATGTCATTGTGTGTATATATGCGAATTCTCATTTGCAAGCGCTGCATGTTTCGACTCAAACCGTAATAAACGCGAGAATGCGAGATCGCGACACTTGACCAATGTTGCTATCTCGCGATCTCGCGTTTTCGTGCTTTTGTGTCAATTGCCTTTTCAGTCATATGCAACTCTTTTCAAAAACGCGAGATTGCGACACTTGACCAACGTCGCGATCTCGCGTTCTCGTGTTTTTGTGCCCATTGGCTATGCAGATATATCTAACTATTTTCAAAAACGCTAGAACGCGAGTTTGCGACACTTGACCAATGTCGCTATCTCGCGATCTTGTGCTTTTGTGTCAATTGCTTATACAGTTATACGCGAGAACGCGAGATTGCGAAACTTGACCAATGTCGCGATCTCGCGTTCTCGCGTTTTTCTGCCAATTACCTGGACAGTGACCTAGTGGCTCAGTCCTCTGAGGCGTCGCAATTCGCTGTGTACGTAAAGTTGCGTCCCTTGGGCGTGCCAGAAACCTATGATGGTGGGTTTCGTCCTATTTGAAGCTGACAAGCCAGGGAATAACTGAAATATAAATACTGTTCAAAGCGGTGTTAAGTCAAACTCACTCACTTATTCAGAGCCATGCCGGTCCCTGGATATTGGGGGTACTTATTCAGTATAAAGATGTTAATGTTTTCTTATCGAACTATTAAAGGCATCTGTGTACAATTGCTTTCGAAGGATGCGATTCACATGCATCATGCGTGTTCAATGGGGCTACGTGCACGGAGTAGGAACACACATTTTAGCGATATTTCTATTTCTAGGAAGTTTGAGGCAATAGAATAATGTAAGGTGGGATGTTTTGTAGTTAGGTGGGAAAGGATGATAATCTATTAATTAATTTTGTATGGCCTAAAGTAGCGACTATGGTGTCGTGTAAAAACATCGGACAATCTCATTTTAGCCGAATGCTACAAATTGGTCTTGGATAATTTTGTTTTAATTGATAATAATGTGATTATTTCTGTAACTGATACAGCAATACTGCTGATGTGTCTTTAAGCAATATTTACTCTCTCACTGACAGTGATATGTATTGTTTTCAGCTTCCTCACACTTTAATGTTTTCACTATCCATGAACATTCATGTACACAATTTCTTTTGTTAAATTATGTTTAGCATGTTGAGGGTTTTAATTTAAAGTACATAGAAAATAGCACCAAAGGGAGGGGAGTCTACTCTACTCTACATGGGTCTTTGTGTATGTAAATTACATAGCATTTTCAAGCTCAAGTCATACATTTTCTAAATGCTACTTGGAGAATGAAGAGCATGAAAGAAGCATGACCACTGTGCAGGACTACTAATGTGCGCATGCGCCTTGACCTTATGATATCACGCATGCGCACGGACAGCGTCTAAAAAACGAGAACGCGAGAACGCGAGATCGCGAGAAAATGAAATGTCGCGTTCTCGCGATTTTGTGTTTTTGTGGCCTAATTTGACAAGTCTAGATTGGGAGATTGCGAGGTTTTTCATCATGTCCAAATGTCGCATTCTTGCGTTGTCAATTTTTGACAAAAAGTGCTATGTATCAAAAACACGCATTCTCGTGTTTTTGGCATATTTAGCTCGTTTCCAAAGGTCGAGATTTGGAGAATGTCCTTTACAGTATTCCATAACTCCCTGTAGGAACATATTGTTTATACTCGTCCATGTTTTTGACGGACAATATAATTTACATGCTCGGTAATAGTGAGGACGGGCATCATTGTGTGTTTCCTTGCTTTGTTCAGGTGAACAATTGACTTGTCCTTGCATGTGTTTGTGATGGATGCCACCTGTCTGGCAGAATACGCTCACCTTTTCGCGAACACCCGTTGGATGGCCTGAACCACTTCGGATTTTTATCCCACATCAGTCTGATACACCGGGATATAACTGATATACTGTTCAAAGTGGTGTTTAATGCGATCACCGTAGTGTGTAACTGCACCTGTCCAAATTTTGTTTAGTGATGTTATGTAATATGTAAAATAAAGCATATTCAATTATCCAGTTGATTAGAATATACTTGCGTCAGTGTATTTTATTAACGCCCAAAACCGTATTTGTTGAACACATATAATAACAGATCATATACGCGCATGGTGCCTTGACTTACTATTAGCTTTAATAGGCCATTCCGGAATAAAATAGTTCCCCTAAAAGCGAGGAACATCTGTTTTAGTTTGTTTACAAGAAATATATTCCAAAAAATATCCTCATTAGATGAGAAGGTCTGTTAAGAACTACCCCAGTAAGTCAATAACAATGACAGAGCGTCGTAATACATTATATTTACATCAGGTACAAGACGTCAAAATGGCCGACACGATAAACATGACGGGAGATATTTCCGAAGTTGTTAATTAACCTGTGGCGATTTCAAGCCTTTGTGGTCACTGATCAATTGGCCGATCATTGAAATGTGATTGTAAAGATGTGTCAAATAGATACTAAGGTAATTTCATAGATTGCTGTAGATTGTCACTACGATAGTTTGGATTTTGGGGTTTTATTTCCCTAGGATGGGTTGTAGCGAGGGTATCCTTGAACGGGCATGCAACCAAACTCTATGACTTATCTCAGAGTATGCTAAGACGCTACGTTCAAAATTAGAGGGTCTTACTGATGAGAAACAACGCTTCTGTATGAATTCGTACTAGGGAATTCCAAGGATTTTTTCCCAGGATTGTGGAAGAAGACAGTGCTTACGTAATTTCAAGAATACAGTCACGTGAAAAACGTCATGTGACCCACCTCTCGTCCTATGGAAAAGCCGTATATCGTGTAAACTTCACATTACAAAATTAGTTACTGTTATAACCAAATGAAACACAACCCATTATCCGATAGAGGTAACTGTGCATAGCGGAGGGATATGTAATCTCAATAAACTTGGTACATGGTTTGGTTTGATTTCTTGGCGCGTGTCTGAATTCCATTAACATGTTACATATCCCTAAACTGACTAATCAGCAAATCTCGCTGCGAGCGACAGATACTAGAGCAAGGCATGCCAGAAATACGAAACCTAATGCTTCCGAAAGGAAGACTTCTGCATCACGTGCGTCGGGGGACCAGCGCCATATGATTTGCCGTTAACAGTTGTACAAGGCGGAGCAAAAAGCATCGTTTTTCCGTCCATTTTACGCTTGAAAAACTGGACGCTTTTCCGGACACTTTCTAGACGCTAACCAATTAATCAATTTTAATGAATTTTTAGTCGTTTTTCCGTCCAATGACATATACGGAAAAAAACGACGTTTTCGTGTTTGCAGTGTAGGCCGCTATGAACATTCGCTCAAACGCGCCAATACCATTAAAACCTGAGCGGAGATTGCCTGTACAACACATGTTGAGTCAAGCACGGCAACGGAGTTGCAGCAATACCAGTTTGTCGTCATTTGAAGGCCAATACTTAGCCATGAAGAAAATCCAAATATGTGCTACTGTCTGTTTCGTTATGACTGCACTTACCGTATATCTCCATTTGAACTGGAATACATTCAGACTTTCACAGTAAGTATCACTGCATTTGATTGTTATTCCGATCAAAGTATCTACCCACTAAGTTGGTTTTATCTCACCAGGACTGACGGTCCAAGTGAGCTTAATTCCCCTGTCTGTTCTTCTGTCTGTCCGTCCGTACTTTATCTTTTGATTCAATGGACCAGCCGAAACATATAAAACAAGCGAGCAGCATTGTACAAAAACATTCAGTTACCTTTGTTATTTAAAATAAAGCAATTTGTGAAAATCCGTTTGTAATCTTCTTCTCAGAAACCACAAGGTCTAGGATTGTGAAACACTGACACGCTGCAACGAAATACCATTGAATTAATTCGTTGTTAGTCCTGGTGGTACATGTTTATGTGTTATGCAAGTGCCCGTGAATCTGATTTGCACATCGAATTTCTATATACATGTATATTATAATTTCTATGTACATGTACATGTATATTGTACATGATATCGATATTTGACTTATAGCCTGATGATATGCCCTTTAATAAACATGTTTAAATTCTAAACTTGTTTAAATGTGTTTAAAATCTAAACACGTTTTTTTATTATTGGGATATTGTGTTTAGGTGATGTTTAGGCTAAGTATGTTACAAACTTTTATTAACAGACACACTTCCAATGCACTTCACCTGAAGGACAACCACATTGAAAAAATATCTATTTACGGACATAAACAACCATTTATTTATAAAGGTATTAACAATGTGTATATAACTGGCCAGTAGAGGGCCTTAACACAAATGTTTTAGATTTTGGGATATTGTTAATGTCATCTTCATCTGGCCATGTGTTTCACAGTGCAATTAAATTCTCTGTAAATACATTTCCTCGCACCAAAGACGTCATCTTCTCAGAAACTATTGAACCAATGAAGCTAGAACTATACATGCCTGTTCGTACCAATGATTCCAATCCAATTTTGTTCCGATTTTCTTTGTGACGCCATATTAAAATAAACTATTTGTGGTCATTTTTGTTCTATATTTAATGACCTTTTTTGTATGGTAAGTTAAAGGGACTCGACTAACACGGAAAGTTTTTTCGCATTACTTTACATTTTGACCTTCGTCAACACACACAAATGGAGCAGATGAAAAAACACACAAATAGAACAGACGAAAACACACAATTAGAACAGATGAAAATACACACGAATTCAACAGATTAAAGCACACACCAAAAGAAAAGATGAAAACACACACCAATAGAAAAGATGGAAACACACACAAATAGAAGACATGAAAACACAAACAAATACAACAGATGAAAACACACACAAAAAGAGCAGATGAAAACACACAAATAGAAAAGATGAAAACACACACCAATAGAAAAGATGAAACACACACAAACAGAACAGATAAAAACACACACAAACAGAACAGATGGAAACACACACAAATAGAACAGATGAAAACACACAAATAGAACAGATGAAATCACACACAAATATACTGAACAACAAAAGTTCCTGTGACATTGAATAAGATTTAATGCAAAGGTCGGGGCACGGGTGGCCCAGTAGTCGAAGGCGCAGCGATTCACTGTGCAGAGTTGCGTCCCTTGGGCACGCCAGAAACCTATGATTGTGGGTTCGAATCCCGGTTCGCCCCGATTATGATTCCATGTTTGTCAGCACCATACCCGTGCTCGTGGGTTTCACCGAAGTGGTAAACGTCTGAGACCTGCATCACTTCGGGCTTTCCTCCCACATTAAGCTGACACGCCGTGATATAACTGGAATACTGTTAAAAGCGGCGTAAAACCCAACTCACTCACTCACTAATGCAAAGTTATGTTTTTTACCAAATCTGAAACAATTTCGGTTTGCAACAGATAAAAGACTCCTGTAAGTGTTCAAACGGTTTAATTTGCCACACTGACTTAATGTTAATTTACAAATCAATAGCGTATGTGTCCACCTCTGGTTGCGATGCAAGCAACACATCTTCGTCTCATGGAATGGACTGGGCGTCGCAAAAAGTCTAGTGGGATATCTGTCAATATCTGCTGAGCATGTTTCGAAGTTCCTGGAGTGTCTGTGGAACATGTGGTTGACGTCGAAGGCGCCGATCCATCTCATCCCACATGTGTTTGATTGGTGAGAGATCAGGGGAGCGAGCCGGCCAGGGGATAACATTCACGTTGTTTTGTTGAAGAGAATCCTGAACAAGTCGAGCAATATGAGCCCGGGTGTTGTCATGTTGAAAGGTAGTGCCTGGGCCATGACGACGCTAAAACGGTAGAACAACAGGGCCGAGGATCTCGTCGCGGTAGCGCTGTCCATTGAGATTTACCTCTACCACTATCAAACGGGTCCTCTGTCTTGCTGTAATCCCATCCCAAACCATAACGCTGCCGCCCCTGAACCGATCTTCTACCATGACACAATGATTGACGTAACGTTCACCTCGACGTCGGTACACTCGAATCCGTCCATCGCTGTGGCTGAGGTGAAAACGAGACTCGTCAGTGAATAGAACTTGTCCCCACTCCATGGCCGTCCAGCGTAGATGCTGTCTGCACCACTGTAGACGTGCTTGGCGGTGCTTTCCTGTCTGGCGGGTCATCTGGCGACAATCCCTGCACATCTGAGGCGACGATGTACGGTTTGTGAAGATATTCGTCGAAGGCCAGGGATGCCTCTTGCAGTCACTGTTGCTGGCTGGAATCGATTTCGTAGGTGTGTTGTTCGAATCCAGTTGTCTTGTCGATTATTGGTTACGCGTGGCCTGCCACTCCGAGGATGGTCTCTGACTGCATTCGTCTGTTGCCAACGTTGCCATAAACCCCAAATAGTGTTTCTGTGGACGTTAAATGGTCTTGCAACATCACTTTGACTCGATCCTGCTTTAAGCATACCAATGGCTCGCAGACGCTCATTTTCGGACAGGCGTGGCATTTCGTAATGTTGAATAATTGCGTAATTTTATTATTTTTCTTAGTGGTTGTTGTCAGCACGATGCTAAACAATGCATATGGAATCCCGTTAACGTACATGTTTTTATACCCATTCTTGGGTAGTGAAATGCATGGGGCTTGCATAAAAGTCAACTTTTGCATGGAATGCATGCTTTTCTGTAGCAGTTGCGTTTTTGTGACTTGATTCTATACATGTACTACAATATTGAAAACCAAACTTTATTTGTTTGAAAAATACACTAAAATATTGGTGTCACAGGAACTTTTGTTGTTGAGTAAAGAACAGATGAAAACACACACAAATATAACAGATGAAAACGCACACAAATAGATCAGATGTAAACACACACAAATAGATCAGATGAAAACACACACAAATAGAACAGATGAAAACACACACAAATATAACAGATGAAAACACACAAATAGATCAGATGAAAACACACACAAATAAATCAGATGAAAACACACACAAATAGAACAGATGAAAACACACACAAATATAACAGATGAAAACCTCTTTCAAAGTATAGATCTCCTTCATCTATGAAGCACTATTTTGACTTATATACAGTATATATATTAGAATGGGGATTATCTGGATCTGCAAGATGATTGATGTATTGATGTTATGCTACTGATAATATTTCAGGGGCTACTTTCCAACAAGAGGAACGACCTATCTCACAGAGGAGGTAATGCGTTATGGACTGGTCATTGTGCCTTCATTATGTGCAAATGCGAACAAATCCCGTGTGTCGCTCAACCACGCCCATAAAGTCTACAGTTTAGGAGAGCAGATTCAAGTGCAAGTAGATCTGTATGATTTGTATGGTAACCGCAAGTTAACGGGAGGTGACTTTCTGAGAGTCTGGATGGAGAACCCAGAGACAGCAGCTTCCGTTTCCTGTCTGGTGTCGGACCACAATAACGGAAGTTACACTGCTCTGCTCAGAGCCGTATGGTCAGGAAGCGCTACAATTAAGGCATTCATTGCCACGAGGAGGGAGGAGGTAGTTCTCAACTATATGATATACCAACAGCATGGCAGTCTCTGGACGATTTTAGCTGAATTCCGGACAAACAATCTAACAGATGCAACAGCGTGTTCAGTTAGACAAGAGAATTCCTTGAGGACAAACGAGTGGTGTAATTTCACGAATGAGAACAATGGCGACAGTTTGTACTGTAAGAAGTCCAAAATCAAGCAGTTAACATGTGATACGTGGTCGCATTCGTTTAGTGCAAATGGAATGAGCTTTCTTCTTAATGACACTGAGAGAAGCATTATTGGTTTGTATGTATATTTTATTTTTAACTATTTCTCTTTTAATACCATGGTGTGTTCGTTAGGTATAAAGCTGCTTTGAACGGTATGTTACATATTTTACTTACTATGAGAGGAAATCCCAGAAGTCGTTGATATGAAACTTGACATGTGCCATTTTTAATTATTACCTTATTTATAAAATCTATGTTTTGTGACTGACAGAGTAACCTTAATCCAACAAATAAATATGTTTTATTCCTAATACAGGTCTGTGGCAGCTTTAAAACAAGATGTTTTACAGAGTTCAGTGAGGGTGTCAGTTGGAGGAGGTAAGCATGTGTTGCGTTTGAAATACCACTCACTGGACAAATCATTCATTCATAGTGTTGACAGGAGGCTACAGTTGTGTCACTCACTGGACAAAACATTCATTCATAGTGTCGACAGGAGGGATACAGTTGTGTCACTCACTTGACAAATCATTCATTCATAGTGTTGACAGGAGGCATACAGTTGTGTCACTCACTGGACAAATCATTCATTCATAGTCTTGGCAGGAGGCATACAAATGTATCACTCACTGGACAAATCATTCATTCATAGTGTTGGCAAGAGGGATACAGTTGTGTCACTCACTTGACAAATCATTCATTCATAGTGTTGACAGGAGGCATACAGTTGTGACACTCACTGGGCAAATCATTCATTCATAGTGTTGACAGGAGGCCTACAATTGTGTCACTCACTGGACAAATCATTCATTCATAGTGTTGACGGAAGGCATACAATTGTATCACTCACTGGACAAATCATTCATTCATAGTGTTGACAGGAGGGATACAATTGTGTCACTTACTAGACAAATCACTCATTCATAGTGTTCACAAGAGGCATACAGTTGTGTCACTCACTGGACAAATCATTCATTCATAGTGTTGACGGAAGGCATACAATTGTATCACTCACTGGACAAATCATTCATTCATAGTGTTGACAGGAGGGATACAATTGTGTCACTTACTAGACAAATCACTCATTCATAGTGTTCACAAGAGGCATACAGTTGTGTCACTCCCTTGACAAATCATTCATTCATAGTGTTGGCAAGAGGGATACAGTTGTGTCACTCCCTTGACAAATCATTCATTCATAGTGTTGGCAGGAGGCATACAGTTGTGTCACTCACTGGACAAATCATTCATTCATAGTGTTGGCAGGAGGCATACAGTTGGGTCACTCCCTTGACAAATCATTCATTCATAGTGTTGACAGGAGGCTACAGTTGTGTCACTCACTGGACAAATCATTCATTCATAGTGTTCACAAGAGGCATACAGTTGGGTCACTCACTTGACAAATCACTCATTCATAGTGTTGACAGGAGGCTACAGTTGTGTCACTCACTGGACAAATCACTCATTCATAGTGTTCACAAGAGGCATACAGTTGGGTCACTCACTTGACAAATCACTCATTCATAGTGTTGAAAGGAGGCATATAGTTGTGTCACTTACTAGACAACTCACTGATCAGGTAATCAGGTGATTACATGAGATGAGTATCGTTCCACCAGTTCGGGACACAATGACACACAATCAGCACGGTCACAAGTTGTGACTAACCGTCCATGAGAAGCATTGCTCAATGATGACCTATTCTCACCTAGAACCTTCTGGCACCGCACTGCAAAGACAATACATTGTAACATGTATCCATATAGGACTCCGAGGACATAGAAACATAAGATATGATTAGGATCCGGACATGTACAATTATCTCCAAAGAAAACAAACACGAACTTGAAGTAATAATTTTCGCATCACTTGGTGGTAGATATACCCCTTTCATAAATGTGACCTAGGATTAATTGAGGACGAGTATCACTTTTGACTAGTATGTCCGCATTATGATGAACTAAGAAAAGTATATTTACCAAAATATTTTCATGTAAACCATTATACATCTAAGTTTAAACTATTACTGACCACTAGCAACACTGAAACCATAAGAAATCTTTCTATTAATATATATCATGCTTTTATAAATTGGAAATTATATGATTGTACCAATTGCTCCTGTAATCATGATTGTACTATAGGCCTGTGGCCTCCTCAGTACGTTGAATAAAGAAATTGAAATTGAATCCCGTTCATAACCAACACTAGAAGCACGAATATGTACGTATCCAACATTGATTTCTTTATCGTTAACTCATTTCTTTTCACAGGTCCGAAGGGTGTAAAACTAGCGTCTCCTTCAACTCCCTGCAATGCGCTTCCGGCGGAAATGACATGGCGACGAACGTCCCCGAATGGTTTCTTTCACCAGAACAAGTGGCAATCGCTACTGTGTACTGACACATTGCCTCGCACCATTGATGCTTACAGACAGTGCTTGAAAGGAAGAACGCTCTGGCTTCATGGGGATTCGACAAGTAATCAGTTTAAAGGAGCTCTTCATTCAATTTTACGCTTTCCTTCCCATACAGATGGTCATGTACCTGTTACTGATACAGATTTGATACATAATTTTTCAATTTCCTGGCATGCTCACGAACTACCGTTCTATCATGGAGCTCGACACTATAAAAGGTCAACAAACCAGGCACAGCACATCATGATGGACCGCCTCCCGAACACCACCAAGGACATTGTAGTGTTATATATGTATGTTCATTTCCTGCTTGTCCATCCGGATGTGTTTAGGCGACATGTTCAAAGACTTGTTCCATCTGTCAGGAACCTCTTGGAACGCGCTCCTAATGTTACAATCGCAGTTCGTGGCCCACATGCATTTTTCAGATCGATGCATGGTATGTTATCTTACTGGGGTCATCTGTACATTGATATTTGGCATCAAGAATTTGCTTCAATGCAAGATAAAATTGTCTATGTAGATTTCTGGGACTTGACTATGGCAAAACCATCTCAGAATTTCCACCCACAAACTAACACAGTGAACGAGATGGTACACAACATGATGTCATTGTTGTGCTTTAGAAAGTGAAGGAATTGTTTTTTCATATGGATATATACTCAGTTGCCTGTTTTGTAACATGCGGGTTGTATTTCTTCAGATAAACTGGTGTTCTGTCTTTGAATCGCGTTATTTCAATTTACATCTTGAAATTATTTGGAAATTTCACATTTAGATCTTCATCACCCTCATAAAAATATTCTTGACCATGTTTATATCAGAATAATTGCTGCAGTTATTTGTAAATATATCGATTATTAAGTTTATATAACTGTAGATTCCTTTCATTTGACACCAAAGTATCAATTTGGTTTAAGAAAATAGTTATGAAAAATCCACGAAATACATTTGAAACAATTCGTTAAACGAATGGTTTATGTTATATGACCAAAAAATATGTTATGTCTTATCGTTATTTAATCTGTATTCAGTACTTAGAAGGGGTAACTGTTGTTTCTCAAATAAATGATTAATATCAGAGTAAATAAGCGAGTTTTGTCCAGCTAATACATTGATTAACAGCATGAGCAATGATCACCGCCACCAAGGAACCCGTTCCACAGAGCGATCTTAGTGCTAAGTTGGCCGTAACTCCCATACGTTACCACAGACTTGCGATCAACGTAGCACTAAGATCGCGTTATGGAGCAGGGCCCAGGATTCACATATTCCAATCGGTTCGTGGGGATGATGGGAACTGGTGTATGTAATTCGCTGTGTTCGTTTCCGTTCCATGTTAAAATGGAAGGTCATGATAATCTTCATGTTGTAGTTTATCACCAGGAGTTTCGCTCGAATTGAATCTTTCTTTCACATTCAGCTCCAGTTGATTGACACTTTCATTGGCTAGTACCGTCTCCGTGGTCTGATGGTAGAGCGTCCGCCCGGAGAGCGGAAGGTCCGGGGTTCGGTCCCCGGCCGCGTCATACCAAAAGACGTTAAAAGATGGTACTTGTTGTTACCCTGTCTGGCGCTCGGCATTAAGTGGCTAAAACAAGGACTGGTCGGCTCGGAGTCAGTATACTGTGTCTGAGTGGGGTATTCATGTTAAGCTGCGGCATGGTATCTCAGTGTGCTAGCACTATAAATCGGCATCAGTCCGGACTAGTACAAGCAGCCACACACACACACACATACATGTGCATGCACGTCGCTATATAAGTGCAACCCCATTTCACCTCACCTCATATCTCCTGGATCCTATGACCTGACATTAGCCGCCATACAATTGTGACGATGTACTTTGTTGGTTGTCTCGATCCCCGGATAACTCAAACTTTTCCCCAGGTCCCCACGATTTCGAAACAACGAGGTTTCGATTGTAATTCTGTTCCATGTAAACTTTTCAAAAATCTCACTTCAAAATGTATTGAATTAACGCCCATGCTTTGCGGAAAAACGCTCAATCTTGTGTGAGTGAGTGAGTATGGTTTTATGCCGCTTGTAGCTATATTCCAGCAATATTACGATATCACGGGGGGCACCAGAAACGGCTTCACACATTGTGCCCATGTGGGGAATCGAACCCGGGTCTTCAGCGTGACGAGCGAACACAAATCTAAAAAGATAATGTTACTCAGTATGAATGTGTACGAACCAATCCATGTAACAACAGAGTAGGGGCACGGGTGGCCCAGTCGTATAACGCGCCGCGATTCGCTGTGCAGAGTTAGCACACCAGAAACCCATGATTGTGGGATCAGGGCATCTTCAGGCTGGGATGAAGACAAATCGCGATTCTACTATTTAAATAAACACATGCAAACACTAATATATCTAGATATGATCAGCCTATTTAAAAAAAACTGCAGAAAAATTATTAAAATAACTATCTGTATGAACGTCTGATGAAACCTCATTCTGCAGTTATATGTAGCCGAAAGCACTCCGGACAGAGAACCGCGATCGACAACATGGAGATGAGGAGAAGGCCAAGGCACAAGTTGTAGTATTCTCAGTTGGAATATTGATGGATTGTACAAACACGTGAGCTCTTCATTTAGTGATTTTAAACAGTTCTGCAGTAGATACGACATTATTAGTTTCTGTGAGTCGTTTGTTAAGCAGGAAGATGACTTTGGCGATCTAGTGTCCGATTTCCAATAATTTAACTTTTGTCGACCTAAACATAAACAACGTGGCCGTTACAGTGGTGGTGTAACCGTAATGGTGAAAGAGAATTTCATCAAGAACAATCTTATTCGTCGAATCTGTCATTCATTTATAGATTGTGTTGTGCTGCACTTTCAAACAAGTTACTTTGGATTACAAAAAGATTTAGTTTTAATATTTGTTTATATCTCGCCTGAAAACTCCCCTGTTTATAATGAGGCTGACATTCATCCCATAAGTCGTCTTGAGGGATATATTGAGACAATCATAAATATCTATAACAACCATTACCTACTACTTGCTGGAGATGTCAATGCAAGGATGCGTACATTTCTGGATTATATCCCAGCTGATGATCTCAACTTCATCCAACAGTGATGACTATCCAACTGATGGGTTCGATATTCCCCGTAAAACAAAGGATAACACTTATGGTGTCAAACTAACAGAATTATGTTGCACACATGATGTCCATGTACTAAACGGGCGGCTATTTGATGATATGGATGGGAACTTTACTTGTATCACTAGGATTGGTGCCAGTGTGGTGGACTATTTTCTGGCAAGTACAGATTTATTTCCACATTTCAGCTCCATTGGTGAGTGAGTGAGTGAGTATGGTTTTACGCCGCTTTTAGCAATAATCCAGCAACATCACGGCGGGGGACACCAGAAATGGGCTTCACACATTGTACCCATGTCGGGAATCGAACCCGGGTCTTCGGCGTGGCGAGCGAACGCTTAAACCACTAGGCTACCCGACCGCCCCGGCTCCATTGGTGTTCACAAGAGAGATGAGTCTAATCACTTCCCTCTTGACTGTACTGTAGACTTTCCACTTAATTACTCTGAGGAATCCAACAGCAACCCCAATGTTTTTTAATAAAAAAGTCATATTGGTAATGAAAACCATCAAGATTCAGCTCAGCAAGAAAGATGGACCAAGTATGCATGGTGCCCATATAACAGTAAATCATTTATGGTGAATTTCCAAGATCTCTTTTTAACATATTGTGACAGTATATACAAACAGATTGATAAAAATGTAGAAGCCAGTGTAGATGCTTTAACAGACCTTAACCATAGTGCTGCAGAGAAGAGTTTAAAAAAGAGTACAAAGGTAGTAAGTTAACGGACATATCACCACAGCCGCCTTGGTGGGATGATCAGCTGGAAGTATTAAAACAAAAGAAATATGCAGCTCTAAGGCTCCATAGGAAATATGGACAGGGCATTGCTATATCTATATAGAATGTAAAAGGAAATTTAAAGAAACGTTTTATTTGAAAAAGGAAGATTATTGCCATAAACAGAGGGAAATTCTCAGTGCATCCAGACATGATTCAAACTCTTTTTGGAAAGTGTTAAAATCCTGCAGAGTAAATCATAAGAATCCTTCCAACATAACAGTAGATCAGTGGTTTGAACATTTTAATAACCTGTTGAACTGTAATTCTGACTGTAGCTATTATTACAGTGACCCAATATGGGAATACACAGATGCAGATGACAGTGACTATTTATGTGAATTAAATGACCCTTTTACACAAGAGGAAATTAATGCGAGTTTGAAATTGTTCAAAACAAGCAAATCTCCTGGCCCAGATGGCATAGTTAACGAATTCTTTAAAGCAACTAAGAACTATATCTCACCATTATTAACAAAACTATTCAATAAACTTTATGACAGTGGTATATTTCCTAGTAGCTGGGGCAAGAGTATTATTTGTCCCCTACACAAACCAGGCAGCTTCTCAGACCCAGATAATTACAGAGGCATTTCCTTGATAAATTCATTGTGTAAATTTCTTACAACAGTAGTTAACAACAGACTTCCACATTGGTGTGATAACAACAATATTATATCTGAATTTCAAGCTGGCTTCAGAAAAAGTTATTCCACTATTGACCAGATATTTACCTACAAGCTATGGTTAACAAATATTTATCAAAGAGAAATGGAAGGTTTTATTGTCTTTTTATAGACTTTTCAAAAGCATTTGACAGTGAGAACCACAAAATGTTATTTAACAGACTCCTTCAACTGGGAGTTAAAGGTAAATTTCTCAAGTTTATAATTCAGATGTGTTCAACACTATGTGCATGTGTGAGAACTGATTGTGGACTATCGCCATACTTCAAGTGTACTATGGGTACTCGTCAGGGGTGTATCTTAAGCCCTCAGATCTTCATCATATTTATTAATCTGTTAGTTTCAATGTTGGAGGAAGAAGGTGGTAGAGGTGTGTTTATATCTACTCATATCCCTGATGTATTTGCTCTGTTATTTGCTGATGATGTGTCAACCGTCTCTGATACTGCTTTACAGCTTCAAAAGAAAATAAAGACCCTGGAGAAATTCTGTGATGATACTGGCATGAAAGTCAACCTGAATAAGACTAAAATAATAGTATTTCGGAATGGAGGTCCTCTTCGCAGTTATGAAAAGTGGTTTTTGAATCAACAGATAGTTGTCAACATGTACAGATATTTAGGAATTATTTTCTCACCAAAGTTATCTTGGACCAAGGCCCAAGCATGTCTAGCAGCCCAGGCAAGGAAAGCACTTCTATCAATATATAATTATCAAAAACAATTTGGATACATTAATCACCATCATCTTTTTAATATTTTTGATGCTATGATTTCACCAATCCTATGTTATGGATCAGAGATCTGGGGAACCAGCTACTGTAACATTATTGAGAGTGTCCATAACAGATTCTGCAAATCCTTTTTGAAAGTAAATAAGTTCACCAACAACAACATGGTTCTAGGAGACTGTGGTAGGATCCCCCTACAGTATAACTACATGTCAAGAGCAGTCAAGTATTGGTGCAGGCTAATTCAGATGGAACAACACAGGCTACCCATTCAAGCTTATTATATACTAAAATCTCTTGATGATACTGGTAAAATTACATGGGCATCACATATTAGAATGATTTTATTCCAGTTTGGATTTGGTTTTGTTTGGCTAAGCCAAGACATTGGTAATATTCAACATTTCATGACAGATTTTAAACGAAGATTTTACGACTGCCTCACTCAATTTGGCACTTTTCCCTGACATCATCAACGAAATGCAATTACTACTCACAGTTCAAGTCATTACTAAATGTGGAATCATATATTACTTGTGATATGTCTCCTTACCAACGTATACTTATAGCCATGTTCCGTAGTAATTATTTCAGACTTGCTGTTGAACTGCTGTTGAACAACATCCCACATAATGAACGTGTCTGCACTTTCTGTTTTTCGAAGGGACATAACCATGTTGAAGATGAATTCCATGTTCTTATGATTTGTGACCAGTATTCTAGAGCAAAAAGATACTCTTTTCCCAAGCGTCTCGTTACCCCTCCCTCTACTGAGAA